GAGTGGTTTCAGACCATATTTTCTTGTTTTGCAACTACTGGTGCTGGTGTCTGGTTTTGTTCTTCGCGAACGCTAAGGGTCTCATGCGTTCGCGAAGAACGATTTTTGGGCTATTGGGATTTGCTCATCGCGAACGCGACACAGAGGTCGCGAATGCAGAGAAGAGCAGAGGCAACCTACGCGAACGCGACACGAAGGTCGCGACCGCGAAGAAGTTTGGGTGGCTGCGAGGCAGAAGGCCTTTGCAAATGCGAGGGGCAAAGCGGGAATGCGAAGGGCAGGGGAAGCTGGGCATCGCAAACGCGATCAGGTGATCGCGAATGTGAAGAAGAGCGGGCCTGGGTAGACTTGATACTTATACGGGATTTGGTTCGAGGGGATATTTTCGTCATCTACGGCAAGGTAGGTAATTCCCACATAATGTTAGTTAATTACATGGATTCTACAAGGATTTAAACATGAAATTTTGTAGAAATTGTGGGATTTTGAAGAAAACCTAAAATTTGGTATTTTTAGATTTTTGCCACGAAATTGGACATGGAATTAGAAATAAATTATATATTTGAGTTCGTGATATTATGGGTAATGATTATCTTCAAGAAGTTTCGAAATCCGGGTACGTGGGCACGAGGGTTGACTTTGTTGACTTTTCGAGTGGAGTTGGAAATTATTATAAATTATTAAATTATACGCATTTGGAGTATATTTTGATTGAATTGCACATTGTATGACTAGTTTCGGATCGTTTGGCTTTGAATTAAAGACTTAGAGAGGNTAAATTATACGCATTTGGAGTATATTTTGATTGAATTGCACATTGTATGACTAGTTTCGGATCGTTTGGCTTTGAATTAAAGAGTTAGAGAGGCATTGCAGCCGGTTATGGAACTTCGAAGCGAGATACATCTTTTGTCTAACCTTGTGAGGTAAAAACTACCTCTAGGTGATGTACTTATTATGTGCTACTTATTGTGGGTGCTACGTACGCACGAGGTGACGAGAGTCCGTATGTAGCTAAAGTATGTTTATGTCCGGGTAGACTTAAGACTTTATCATGTAATATTTGTATTATTTGAACTCATTTTTGCTAGCTTAATTAAGTGAATTTATAATTGAAATTGATTTAGGAATATACATTAGGCCGAACCTTATCAACTTGAGTTGTTGGAAAAATATCTGATAAACGGTAAATGGTATATCCACTTTATGCTCATGTACTGTATTGTAAGCATGTGTCTCGTAATTTGATAAGTTCCTTCTTTTCTTATGGAGCGGGCCGAACGTCTCAGCAGTATAATGAAATGCATCTCTAGTTCGTGCCGGTCGACCCTCGGCAGTGTACACACCACTCTGGATCGGGTCGTACGATCTCAGCATAATCGTGCGTTATATCGCTAGCAATTTGAATATTCACGATTATCCTTCCACTGATGCCTGGCATTTTATATGGTATTCCTTATCCGTTTGATATTGGAACTTGATATTTTCTGAGTTGTTGAGAGATATGATACGAGATTGAGAAATTTATATCGTAAAAAGAAATTTTGAAAGATCATGTTAGTTACATGTGTTACCTCACTGCTACTATTGTGCTTGATATCTGTTTATGAATTATCATACTGATTTATTGGACCACTAGTAAGTGTCGATGTCGACCCCTTGTCACTACTTCTACGGGGTTAGACTAGATACTTACTGGGTACGCATTGATTTACGTACTCATGCAGCACTTCTATACTAAATGTGTAGGATCTGACAGGTTCATCTGGCGGACATATTGGCGCGTAGGCGCAACTGCTGAGGAGACTTTATGGTGAGCTGCATTCCAGATTACGTATCGCAGCCCACGGAGTCTCCATCGCACTATTAACTTTATCTGTCTTATTTGCATTCCAGACACAAATGATGTATTATTATTGTACTCAGTAAATGCTTATCCACTTGTGACACGGATTTTAGGATATTCTAGTTGATGCTTACGAATTTGCATATTATTATCACCCTTTATTTTTATGCATTACTAATTATGTATTTACCCGTGATTTTAAAGGTGTAAATTTCTTTACTTAATAAAATTTATGATTTTGAAAGTAATAAAATGAATAATTAACGTGATAGTTCACCGTTGGCTTGCCTAACGACGACGTTTGGCGCCATCACAGTCTATAGTAGGTTTTGGCGTTTCTCTTGATCTTATATACAGAAAGGAAACAAATTACTTTTAAGTGATTCTTGTAAAAATAAAATAAAGACATTGATTATCGGCAGAGGCGGGGTCGAGATTTGAAATTTATGGGTTCTGATTTTGTCATCGAACCCACAACTCATTTTAGTTACTGGATTCGTAATTAAATATTAATACATATTTACTAAAAAATTTAATACAAATATAATATTTAATCAAAAGTTATTAGATTCATCCGAACTTGTAGTTATCATCTAGCTCCGTCTTTGATCATCGGGGAAGACATATCCTTACAAACTAAAAAGAGGGTAAATGCAATAACAAAAAGGTTTTAAGACTTTAAGGTGGAAAGATGTCATATAAAAACTCCCCGGGTACATTCAGTTACTGCGACATAAATTAAACTTTACAGTAGATAAGATAAAATATACGAAAATTATCGTACTATATCATTATCTGTCTTGAAATCAAGTTAAGCTTTTGATAAAAATATATTCATGCTAGAGCTGGCATCTATAGTCCTTACCTATAAATTAGCACAAAATCATTAAAAAAATTAAAAAGTACTGTAAAAAACCTCATTCATTCTTCCAATCTTTTAGATTTTAATAAGCTCATTCTACTAACAATATATTACTTTGCATATTTGTTCCTCTTAATGGTAGTGAAGATACATTTTATGATTATTGAATCCCGACTTGCTATTCTAGAAAATTTTCTGTCTCTTCTTCTGGAAAATCTAGAGATAGAACCATCCTTCTTAAGAAATATGCCATATTTTTCTTTATTTAATTCTTATGTAACTTTATTATTTGTAACCGTATGATCCACTACAACAATTTATTTCACGAAAATTCCCATATTCTGATACAATTCTTGCAATTTCTTCATATCTTATAATTTATATATGTTATTTAACTTTTATGATTCATAACTCATCAATATCTAAACTTAATTATCACCACCTAATTTCTCAAGCTAAGACACTATTATTATCCAACTATTATCATAATTGGCTTCTCCTTAGGTTACAACTCAAAAGTAAATGCAAAACATGATTGTCTTTAGGTTACAACTCAAAAGTAAATGCAAAACATGATTGTCTTTAGGTTACAACTCAAAAAAAATAATTACGTATAGTATCTCTAATATGGGCAAATATCTCCTTTTCTCACTCACCATCATTTATTCTTAAAATAATCTTACTTTCTTAATTAATTATTATTTATCCCTTCTAGTTAGCTGCATAAAAACCAATCAATAGATAGAAGGGTTGACAATTGTAACAAACAATCAAGTTATTACTTATAAAGGGATAACTCAGAAAAAAGTTTGACTTTCACAAGTAATATATATACCTTATTGTTTTAATAATGCCAACTAGGGTGAATTGAGTATCATATTATCAATCCATTAAAAGGATAAGAATTTCTAACTCTCAAATCAACACATTACATAGAAACAATAGTAAAATTATTTTAAAGACAGCAAGTTTGAGAGTACTCCAAAGCACCTTTAAATAGTCCATATTTTTTACTTTGAATGTTAACTCAAAAACCACAAGAATTATCTCTAGTATTCTTTAGTTTCAGCCATGGCAAAGAAACCTAGCATTGGTCGTCAAAAGATCAAAATTGCCAAAATAGAGGTGAAAAATTATCTCCAAGTTACCTTCTCAAAACGTCGTTCTGGACTTTTCAAGAAAGCTAGCGAACTATGCACACTTTGTGGTGTTGAAATAGCTATCATAGTTTTTTCTCCTGCAAGAAAAGTTTTTTCTTTTGGTCACCCTAATGTTGAGTCCATTATCGATAGATTCCTGTCAAGAAATCATAATCCAATTTCTAATTCATCACTTCATCTTGTTGAGGCTCATCGAAATGCTAATGTTCGTGAGCTCAATTTGCAATTAACTCAGATTCTTGCTGAGCTTGAAATTGAGAAGAAAAGAGAAGAATCACTTGATCAAATGAGGAAAACTAGTCAAAGTCAATATTGGCGGGAAGCTCATATAAGTCAACTTGGTTTGCATGAACTTGAACAATTAAAGGAATCCATGGAGATTTTAAAAAATAATATGACAAATCAAGCAAGCAAGTTTATGGTTGAGATTACTGCTAACTCTTCTTTTTTATTTTGGTGTTAATGGTAATGGAATATTTGACAACTATGATATCAAGCCAGCTCAAATCATGGTTGCTTCAAATAATCTTCATAACCATAACTTTGGTTTTGATTCAGCTGGATTATTTTAATTCTGTTCTAGTTTCCCTCTTATTATTAACTAAAGCCAACGAGTACCTCACTAGTTGGTCTTTGATACAAGTTTTTCAAGTTCTCAGTTTGTGTATTGATTGCCTATATATGAGCAACAATAAATGGTTGCCCTTATAAATCAATATGTTAGTAATTGCATAATATTTTGCAATCCTTCTATTGCTATTATCATGTTATTACTTCCCCAGCAATTACCTTCATCCATTGCTTTTCATTAACAAAATCATGTCTTTATTTCTTAGTGTGAAGTTGAGTTCTACCTTCCCTAATTTATACAAATAATATATATCCGTCAAATAATTTCTCTGAAAGAACATATATCAAGCATTCTTACCATGTAAAATAATTAATGTGGAAAAGATGAATACATTTTCTTGTAAGCAGAATAATAAAACATACGGTTGTTATTACAATTATAAGCTTAAGTAATAAACCAAATAAAAATCATATTAAAGCTTTAGTAAATCAATGGAAAGTGGCACTAACGTGTGACCTCACTGTCAATAAAAGGTGGAATAAAGACTATAAGAAACCACATTCAAATTTTAACAATGAAATAAAATACTAAGAAAATGTAAAATAAAGATTGCAACATGACCGGTTTAGTTTTAGCAATCTTTCTCAGCTTCTTCACCTTGACTTTGGCAGCAATATTATTCCTTCTCTTCTGATGTCGCTCTTCCTTAAACTTCTCCCGGGTCTCAACTCTTTCTTTCCATTTCTCCCTACTTTTCTCATTCCTCCTCGTCTCCTTCTTCATACTTTGCTTCGGTTTAGAAGGGTTATCATACGCTTCCACTCTCATTGCCCTCTTTGCTGCTGCCTTCCATAATTCCCTCTCTGCTACCTTCCGATTCTCCCTCTTTACCTTTTTCTGCCTCTTCACTCTTTTTAATTCTTTCGCTTTTGATGCTTTCCTCTTCTTCTTCTTATCATCACCATCGTCTCAGATTTTGACTTTTCCAAACTCTATTTCCTTGCCATTCACTCCTCTTTCTCTTCTTCGATTTTGCATTATTTTCAACTCTATGGCTATTAGGTTTGTTGTTCTTGCCAGTACCTCGGTTGTTACCAAAGAGCATTTCGATCTTTTTGCGTAGCCTTTGCATCATCTGTTCGCGAGTAACACATGAGGGATTAGGGTTACCATTAATACTATTAGGCTTATTGGTTTTTTCAGTTTCTGAAGGGAGTGAATGAGGAGTCGGAGGATGGAGAACTGATTTTTCTTATCAAGGTCAAGAAGGTTGCGATGGGCGATTTTGAGGTATGCTTTATTTCGTTTCTTTAAGGAGGCCTTTTCGACTTTGGAGAGGTCGCCTTGGTGCTGCAGTTTGCTGTGGGAGACAGGAGTGAAAACTCAAGGACAATGTGTCCTAATGAAAATTACTTGAATGAAGTTTTATATTCCAATTCCTATTGAATGTATACAATTCATGAGTACCAGCTCACTCTCTACGAACTCTCTCGCTAAGAGTACTTCCAAAATTCACGACAAAAGAACTCTGTAATCCAAACCCTAAATCTTAACATTATTTGAATAAATTTTGAATTTTCTGTTGTATATAGGTTAGTAAGATAACTTCGGACTATGTCAAAATCTTTATTTTGATCAAGGGTCTAGTGCAATGTCTTTGATGCTAACTATCCTTTCTTCCTTCTTTGCATTGTTGCTGCATGAAAGAATTTAGTATTTACATCTTGTATATGGTCGAAGTCGAGCTCGATTTCGATTTCGTAGATTAGGTTTGAAACATGATAACCACGGACTGAAGACCGACCTCGAGTCTCACCGAGCTAGTACCCGAGGTCGGAAAACCTGCCTTCGAGGAAAATTGAGTCTGGTGTCGACCTTTGCCTCGAACGAGCTCAGGGATAAATAATAGAATACCAAAATATCTACGAACCAGACGAATATTACGGCGAGAATCTCGGCACGTATCAGCAAGAAACCGGTAATCAGCAAATCAAGAGATTTTTACCTTTTATAGAAATGTACCTAGAATAGGACTCATTTACTATATAAAGGGGGTCTGATAATTCATTCAAGAAAGTCAAACTCTTTGAAGTGTCTTTGGTTCCAGGCTAAAATACAAAAATGTCAAACTCTCAATCAGTAGTTATTCATGTTGACAACGAGTCCGGTCACCAAGGTGAAAATAACAACATAGCGCCTAGTAACGAGATACCACCTCCTGATCCCGTTGGAATTCCGATCGCAGATCCGATTGACGCTAATTCACATGTGGCTATCGATATAAACTTGCCTACTGACCCCAAAAATAGCGTTCGTGGTGTAGCCCGATCGGCAACTCGAAACATGCAAAACGCTGAAGGAGACGGGATCAGTCTACGAGTGATCTTCGAAATGTTGCAGGCTCAACATGCGGTGATAGCTTAGTTATAGAACTAAAGCCATCCACCGAGTAGGGTTGAGCCCGATCCTCCCCAGGAAGTCACCTGCAGGGATGAACCAGTCATAGAAAAGTCGAACGAATACGAATAGGGGGCTAACCCCGAGATCATAAAAATGCTCGAGGAGATGACAAAACAGATAGAATTAGGGGAGAAGAAGATCGTGGCTAACGACAAAAAGGTGGAAACCTACAATTCCAGGGTAGACCAAATCCCAGGAGCACCTCCGATATTGAAGGGCCTGGATTCCAGAAAGTTCGTGCATAAACCTTTTCCACCGAGCGCGGCTCCGAAGCCGATCCCCAAGAAGTTCCGTATGCCCGAAATACCCAAGTATAATAGAACGACCGACCCAAACGAGCATGTAACCTCTAATACATATGCTATCAAAGGGAATGACCTGGAGGACGATGAGATCGAGTCTGTTCTGTTGAAAACATTAGGGGAGACCCTGTCGAAGTGAGCTATGATATGGTATCACAATTTACCTCCTAATTCTATTGACTCATTTGCTATGCTTGCATATTCTTTCGTAAAAGCACACGCAGGTGCCATCAAGGTCGAGACTAGGAAATCAGACCTTTTCAAAGTCAAATAGAAGGATAACGAGATGCTTAAAGAGTTCGTGTCTCGTTTTCAAATGGAACGAATGGATCTGTCGTCGGTCCCTGATGATTGGATTGTTCAAGCTTTCACTCAGGGACTTAATATTCGAAGCTTGGTGGTTTCACAACAGCTGAAGCAAAACTTAATAGAATACCCGGATGTTACATGGGCCGACATGCATAACCGATATCAATCGAAAATCAGAGTCGAAGATGATCAACTCCGGGCTCCTTCGAGGTTTGTCTATCCTGTCAGAACCCTCGACGGAGTCAAGAGAGATGTCGATCGCGAACTGATGCCAAACATGAATCAGTATCAGCCATATAACGGAGATCTTAGAAGCAGCGGGTCCGGGCAACTCCATGAGAAATGAAAGGAAAAATGAGCGAGGTCAAAGCAGCCGAGGACTTATAAACAAAAATGGCTTCGACAGGTCAAAAGACGCATAGAGGCTATCAGAATATAACTTCAATGTCAATGTTTCCATCATTATATCAACTATCGGGTGCATCAAAGATACCAAATGGACTCGACCTCTACAGTCTGATCCAACCCAAAGGGATCCTTACCAGATGTGCAAATATCATGCCATTCACGGTCACAGAACAAAACATTATCGACAGTTAAGAGAGAAAGTTGCCCGTCTATTTAACAATGGGCACTTTCGGGAGTTCTTGAGCTACCGAGCCAAGAATCATTTCAGGAACATGGATTCTAACAAACAGACAGATCAAGAAAAACCTCAACATGTCATTAACATGATCATTGGAGGGGTTGATATCTCATAGGGGCCGATGTTGAAACGCACCAAAGTATCCATCACTAGGGAGAAACAAACTCGAGACTACTTATCGGAGGGAACTTTATCTTTCAACGACAAGGATGCGGAAGGGATCATGCAGCCCCACAACAATGCACTGGTAATATTTGTACTCGTAAATAAAATTCGGGTTAAACGTATGTTAATTGATCCATGTAGCTCAGCCAACATCATTCGATCATGGGTCATGAAGCAGCTCGGTCTACAAGACCAAATCGTGCTTGTAGTTTGAGTTCTGAACGGATTCAACATGGCATGTAAGACTACTAAGGGTGAAATAATGTTACTTGTAAACACCGTCGGGACCATCCAGGAGACTAAATTTTATGTGATCAAAGGGGACATGAGGTATAACGCTTTATTCGGGAGGCCATGGATCCACAACATGAGGGCGGTACCCTCGACAATACATCAGGCACTAAAATTCCCAACACATGATAGAGTCAAAAGAGTCTATGGATAATAGCCGGTTGCGAAGGAAATGTTCGCGGTCGCGGAGGTGATACCGACATCTACAATTTCAACATCTAAGGGCCCAAACCAGATGGTAAATAACGGGGCCAAATAGAAGTCACTGATACTATCTTCTACAGATTCGGACAAACAAAAGGAAGTCGAGGATGATGATTATGGGGTTTCCAGATCTTTTATAGCCCCCGATGATTCCGATGCCACTAAATCGATGGTCGAGGAGTTGGACCAAGTCATATTGAGAGAAAGCTTGCCCGATCGAAAGGTATACCTGGGCACGGAGCTAAGCTCCGAGCTAAGGGAAAAACTCATTCAATTTCTTATAACTAATGAAGATTGTTTCGCTTGGTCCCACCTCAATATGACAGGAATCCCGCCGGAGATAACCACTCACAAGCTAAGCCTGGACCCAAACTTTCACCCTGTTAAACAGAAGAGGAGACCCAGTCCGAGATCAAGCATGCTTTTATCAAGGATGATGTATCTAAACTTCTTAAAATAGGGTATATTCGGGAGGTTAAATACCCGGATTGATTAGCAAACATAGTGGTAGTCCCTAAAAATAGGAATAAACTAAGAATGTGTGTAGAATACAAAGATTTGAATAAGGCATGCCCGAAAGACTCTTTTCCTTTGCCCAACATAGACCGTACGATCGATGCCACGGCCGGCCACGAGATCCTCAGTTTTCTCGACACCTATTCCGGGTACAACCAAATATGGATGGACTCGGGTGATGAGGAAAAAACTTCCTTCATAACTAAATAGGGCACATACTGTTATAACGTAATGTCGTTTGGATTAAAAAATACTGGTGCTACTTACCAACGCCTAGTAAATTGGATGTTCGAGGAACAAATAGGAAAATCAATGGAAGCTTACATTGATGATATGTTAGTTAAGTCCCTGCAAGTAGAGGACCATTTAAAATATTTGCAAGAAACCTTCAGCGTACTGAAGCAGTACAATATGAAGCTGAACCCAGAAAAATGTGCGTTTGGAGTAGGGTCAGGTAAGTTCCTCGGATTCATGGTATCCAATTGGGGAATCGAGATCAATCCCGATAAAATCAAAGCCATTGAAGATATCACGGTTGTGGACAGCGTAAAGGCTGTGCAAAGGTTAACCGGACAAATAGCCGCCCTGGGGCAATTTATTTCGAGGTCGTCTGACAAGAGCCATCGAATCTTCGCATTGTTGAAGAAGAAGAACAACTTCTCGTGGACCCCGGAATCCCAACAAGCTTTGGAGGAACTTGAGGTATTTATCGAGCCCGCCCCTACTTTACATACCGAAGACAGACGAACAACTGTACTTGTACTTTGCGGTCAAGGAGATAGCGTTAAGTAGAGTCCTAGTTCGGGAAGAGCAAAGTATGGAATTTCCAATTTACTATGTTAGTAGGACCTTAGGTGAGGCCGAAACTAGGTACCCTCACCTGGAAAAACTGGTGCTCGCTTTGCTAAGAGCCTCTAGGAAGCTAAAATCGTACTTTCAATGTTAACCCATATGTATCGTAACTACTTACCTATTGAGGAACGTTATGCATAAGCCCGAACTCTCGGGCCGATTGGACAAATGGTCCATAGAAATAAGTGGGTACGATATTGAGTATCAACCTCGGACCGCCATTAAGTCTAAAATTTTGGCAGACTTTGTGGCCGACTTTACACCGGCCCTAATACCCGAGGTCGAAAGAGTGTTATTAGTTAACTCAGGAACTTCCTCGAGAATTTGGACCCTCTTCATGGACGGTGCCTCAAACGCAAAAGGGTCTGGACTTGGCATCGTACTAAAGCC